CATTCTTTCCTAAATATTGTTATTCTAGGTTTTTGTAGGGTTCATATTTTCCTGTATTGGTAACTTTATCTCTTGTTTTTCCTTTGTTATGGACATTCATGCTTTGTGGAAGCGCTACAAGTATTTGAAGGAGTGCTTTGTAGATAGATCTTATTGTGCTGTGGATAATCTCTGCAATTTGCTTTACATACCTTTTTTCTTGTCTAAAAATGAACATACTTTGTTGTTTACAGGCTTGCTATTCAGAGGCTAGAAATTGCAAAAAGTGATTTGCAGCAGAGAATTGCTAAGGAGGTAAACTATTTTTGGTTGACTCATTTTTTTAATAGATTATAGAACATGGATGTTTAATTGGATCGGCCATGTTTTAATTTTAGGCCAGAGGCAATGCAATTTTACAAGCAAGCTTAGAGAGAAGGAAGCAGGCTTTGCATGAGCGGCGCTTGGCACTTGAACAAGATGTATTCTTTTTACTTTGATTTATCTATCCCTGCCAATTTTGACTTTACCTTTTGTGATAATTTGATTTTAGTCACTGGTTTTTTTTTTGCCTTGCCATTTGCTATCAGAATGCAGTAATTGCTTGGCTTGTGTTTGACAATCCTAATGCTACTTTGCTAATATGCTTAAAATAATTTATCTGCGTTCTGGAATTTTTAATGCATGCGTTTTGTGGGTTCTGATTTCCTCTCTTATTATTTATGATGCCACCAATAGTGTTTAAGGCTCAAAGCTAATAGTTAATTTCTGAATTGGGATAAGTTCAGATTAGAGGGAGTTTGGCTGATCTAAAAACTAATATCTCATTCTATTCAAAGAAGAACTAATACCTCATTAATTGCTGTAATTGGTTGCGAGTTGATGGAAGGATATTTGAAAGCATTGATAATTTTAGTAGTTTGAAATGCCACTCTTTAAAATACTAGACATGGAGGCCATGAACCTATTGTGCGTTCTGGAGCACGTTGGTGTGCCCCAAACATGCACTTTTTGACTTGCTGCTCCTGTAAACTATATGCTTTCTGACATTATATGCTTAATTTTGTCTTTTATGTCAGTTGTCTTGTATGAAAAATGCATTTATTGTCGTATATGGAGTCAAACATGTGTTTCTTCATCCCCTTTAAATATATATATATATATATATATTTCTAATTTCCTCCGCAGTTGCAATTATTGTCTTCCTCCCCAATGTTGTCAAATTCTTTAAAGCCTTTCCTTTATTAAGTGTTTTTATGGATGTCTACAACCACATCATTGTTGCTTGCATTTCTTTATATTTGATATTTAATTCATTACAAACTTTATAGGTTTCAAGATTGCAAGAGCAGTTGCAAGCTGAGAGGGATCTTAGAGCGGCATTGGAAGTTGGTTTGAGCATGTCTTCAGGACAATTTCCAAGTTCACGTGGCATGGATTCTCAGGTTCTTATTGATTTTAGTAGAGTTTGCAGTTCATTTTTTTTTATTGCTTTTGCATCAAGCATGATATTAAAAAAGTCTACTTATTTAAAGACGAGGGCTGAGCTTGAGGAGATTGCACTCGCTGAAGCTGATGTGGCCAGGTTGAAGCAGAAAGTTGCAGAACTCCACCATCAGCTTAATCAGCAGCGTCAGCATCACTATGGTTCACTTGCTGATACTTGTGATCGGTATCAACATGTCCCGCATTTTCCTCAGCAGTGAGTTTGCAGACTTATTTTAACGGTGAAATATTGCTTGCCTTATGATGTTGATTACTAGATTTGCATGGCATCTGAACCTAGGTTTAACATTTCATTTTGCCAAACAAAAATTATAATTTATACTGTTTGTTACTGTTATTTAGGAAGTTCCACATGAACTCAATACCATTACAGGCAAACGCCATTACTTGGTATAAAGTTCAAGGGTCAGAGAAACAATTTATGGATCCAGGATGATGCGCCAACTTCAAAAGAGACTATTTTTATTTGTAATTGGTGCTCGAAATATTGCATTGGGCATTGGAGTAATTGTCCCCATAAAAGGAAATAAACTAATTTTGAATGGCCTATTTTCTTTTCTTACAATATTCTTCATTTTTCTCTTTCTCCTTGCTTTCTGTGAAGGGCTTCTATCATGGATTGCCTAAGTAATTGTGTTCTCCTCAATATACTTTTTTTTAAATTAATGACCTTTTCTGGACCTGAAACTATCGTCACACTGCAATTATTTTTAAAATTCCATGGGGGCGTAAATTTTTATTGAATGTTTTATAATTTTTACATCCTTCAGTACTTTTAAGTTTTTCTGACATGTGCAGGAGATTTCTTCAGCAAGATTTTGATACAACCCTTGCCTTTTGTAATCATGAAAGGAAACAAAGGACTGAGGTATGTATCATAGTCAGTATAATGAAAGCAAGAAAGGCAAAGGGGCATGGATACCAAATTTACTAATCCATCTCTAATTCTCCACGTAAACAGGAAAGTTTGTTGGGCACAGATTGGAGAAATATCAAAGGTCAAGTGTTGGCATCTGGTAGTGGTAGTGGTAGTAGGCAGCCTTCTCGGAAGCAATTTATAGATTCAAGTCCAAGTGATTCTAAAAGTACCGAGGCATCGACAAGCATTTCTGTAGATGACCTCAGTGCTGTTGATTCTGCCGCATTGCCCTCCACCTCAAGAGCAACAGAGGTAAGAATTATGATGAAATAGACGTGGGTAACGTTGTGAATTATATCAAGTTGCCCACAGTTTTAGATCAATTTGTGAGAATACTAGACTGTTTTTATGTTGTCATACATAAGTTTGAATCAGCAAGTTTATCACCATTTTGAAACACATGCATGTTAGCACTGTGTTAAGTGACACAATCTCTAAATTTTGACATTAATACATCTTATAACGTACTTGTGTTCAATATATTACCCAAATATGACAAAGGGAACTTGATACTTTGCCATATTGGGTAACAGATTGAGCCTGAACATATTAACTTCATTGTATTAATGCCAAAATTTAGCGGTTGTCATTTAGCAAACAAGACAGGTTTTTCACATCTTAAGAACAAGCCACACTGTTCATAGCATGTAAATAGTACGGTTTGCTATAGAATTTGCTATATATATATGTATATATATTGACATATTGATTCTGTCATTTGGGTTTGATTGTTTATATGGTGGAAGACTATGAACAAATTGTACTAGCTGCAGATCTTTTCTGCATTATCAGGTACTGACATAGCATCATTGGTTCCAGGTGATGGAATATGCAAGGCACCCATCTTTAGCATCTTCAACCCTAGTAGAATAACTACTCGTCTCGATTTTTTCAAGGAACGGCGCTCCAGTTGATGGAACAGCTCCATAACCTCGACTTAAATTACGGCTCATCAGCTTCCCAAGACTTCATCTATAAACCACCATCACCATCATGGAGTTGACTGGCCAATTCAATGCTCTCATTATTATATCTAGTGTGAAGAATTTTGGCTCACATGTACATCCTTTCCACTCAGTTGCATATACATATGTATCCTTTGTGTGTTCGTGTACTATTTCATGCCTTCCTTTTCTAGTTTAAGTTTTTCTTCTCTTTTGGCTGTGATAAGTCATTGGAGCTTGGATTGAAGAGGGGACATTGGTGTAAATTATGTGTTGTGTCAATAGCTGTGGAGTTTTCTTGTTGAACTAAAACATCTTTTGTTATGAGGAATTTTTACTGTGTTTTAGCATGTTTGCATGTATGTGTTGTGTCAATAGCTGTGGAGTTTTCTTGTTGAACTAAAACATCTTTTGTTATGAGGAAATTTTACTGTGTTTTAGCATGTTTGCATGTACATATATCATGTTTGTTTTCTCTAGAACCATAGAAGAAAACATTGAAACTAAGCACTGAGTGGAAATTGCAATCTGGTCCTCTTTATGTCTTTTATCAAACTATTTTTTTTAAATTTATGGAAAAAAAAGTTTAAATGAAGTTTGATGGTTGAGATGGCCCGGATAAGTTTTATGACAGAAGCCAGTACTTGTTAAAAAAAAACAAATAATAAATATGACTATCTCCAATGAAGTTTTTATATTTATAACAAGATTCAAACTCACAGATTTGTGAAACAAGGCGCCGCTTGCTTAAATAGCTTCATTGGCTTTTGATTTGAGAAACTCTCCATTTCATGTACTTTGATGATGATTTATCAAAAATATTTTTTAAAAAAACTTGTTCAATTCCAGCAGAATTTGCATTCTAAACCCTAGATTAATCCTTTAATGCCACTGTTTGGACCTATTTGCCAATCGTTTCAAGCAATGGTGTAAAAAGAAGCTATTAACTAATCCAGTTGGAATAAGGAGATAGTGATAGAATATGGAGTAATTAAAATTTTTTTTAATATATATTAGGCTTATTCATTACAGATATTTGAATAAAAATTTTATCCATTAAAATTAGAATTTGTTATTTTATTTTATTATTATTTTATATTTATTTATGCTCAATAAAATATAATATTATTATCTTATCAATATCTTTTTAAAATATTTTAGGATTTAGATGTACTATTGTATTATTTTTTGAACTCTATGAATCCTAAATTCAATTTAAAAATACTGATAAAATGTTAATATGTTATTTTATTGAGCATAAATAAATTTAAGATAATAATAAAATAAAATGATAAATCTTAATGTGATGAATAAATTCTTTATTCAGTTTTTTAGAACTTCACTTATCAATCCCGACTCCCGAGCCCCTACCAAACGAATCCTAAAAGTGAGTCAAACCACAACACGTGTTGTGATCTCGAACTCTCTTTGTGTGGAAGGTGGAAATTAAATAAACGCTCCGTACGTGACTCTCCCGCACACAAGCCTCCTTCCCCCACTCCACCTCTAAATGTTCCACATGTGGGGTCCCACTCAGCTCCGTGTCCCGTGAGCTGGAGAATTTCGTAGGTTACTGAAAAACCTGTGGTCAGCGACTCTGCGTAGATAAATACGCAAAGTGATGAGATCCACAAGCAGACCTAAAATTATTTATTAAATTGAAACAAAATCTTTGTAAAAAATTTTCTCGAGAAATTCTCTGTCTACTTGTCCGTTTCGATCTTCCCTTCAATGCGCTCCCCTCAAAGGCCTACAAACCACTGTCTACAGTGACCTTATCCCTTAACAAGTAAGTTCATTAAACGTTAAGCTTCTGGTTCTTCGATATTGCATGTTTGAACCCTACAATTATTAGTGTATGGTGTCGATAACGGAGGAAATAAAGGAAACCCATTGATGCGATTCCTTTGTGTTTTCTTTTTATTTTTTGCCCATTTTTATGTTTTTTTTGGTTTGGTTGTGAGTTGTGTTGTAATTTAAAACTTCTAAATGGGTACGTTGTTTTCAATTTTTGCGCTTTGTTTACGTATGAAGACAGAATCCAGTTAAATGGGTATATTGGTAGTTCGGAAATAGTGTGCTTAGGATCTTGGCGACTTGGCTTGGGGATATATTCATTCAATCTTATTGTGATTCTGATGCAAAAGGATCTTGTTGACGGTACTGAAAATTTTTCTGCTTTTCTAATAATGGGTTTTTTTAAACACCACATTTTTCTATTAGCCACTTTAACTAAGTTCTTGCTCTCCGCCAAAATTTTCTACCAAGGCTTTTAGCACAGTGTTGATTGTCATGTTTTAAATAAATGTATTATTTGAGTGATTATTTTCTGTTGAAACTATATAGTTTTACATTTCTTTTCCCTTTTAGGGAATGCTCTAAAAACATATATATATGATCCCACTTAGACGTGTCTCTTTTATTGAGCAAGAAGACAGGAAAATTGATGAAAAGAATTGTTATTCTCTTCTTCACCGTGGACAAATAGGCACTTAATTGCATATTTCATTTGACATGGATCAGATTTTATTATATATGATGGCTATTTCTTGATGTTGTTACTTTTCTGTGTCTAGGTGAACAGAACATTGGTACTAGGGTGGCTATGCCTTGACAGTTTTTTCCATCATGAACTTTGGGTTTCTTAGTAATGGCCCATGGTCCAAGGCTCCATTAAAGACGGTTCCATCGGCAGCTTCCAATTCGATGGATGCTCTAAGCAAACAACCAAGAGAAGTACACCATGACGATATCAAGTTATTGGATGGTTTTTTTTTTTTTTCCATCCTTCAATTTTTACCTTGGACGAGCAATGCTAGAGACAGAGTTCAAAGACCAACTACTATCAACAGAGGGTTGAAGAGGCGTGCACAAACTCGTGGGAATGTTTGAAAACAACTTTGGGGCTACTCCTTTGCGCTTTAGGCCATATGTTTCCAAGGTTCCATGGCATACCGGGGTGAGAGGATTCCTTTCTCAGCTTTTCCCTAGATATGGGCATTACTGTGGACCAAACTGGTCTAGTGGAAAAGACGGTGGATCTCCTGTTTGGGACAAGCGGCCAATAGATTGGTTGGATTTTTGCTGTTATTGTCATGATATAGGGTATGATACTCATGATCAGGCCAGCTGCTGAGGGCTGACTTAGCATTCCTTGAGTGCTTGGAGAGTCGAAATATGAGTACAAAGGGAGATCCTCATGTTGCTCTTCTTTACAAGACAATGTGCATTAATGGTAAGCCTGACATTAAAATATCATTCTTTTCATTGAAACTGTTACATTGCTTCAATTCACACCAAACAGGTTTTTTCTTCAGTGTTATAGTGACAATCAATGATGTGTGTTCTGGAAATTTTCAAGCCATGCCCACAGGGGTACTTATTGGATATTATTAATCAGTACTGTTTGGACTTTCCAAATGTGTTTTACTTGGTACTTTTCTTTTCTGAAATTTTGGTTTCGATGCATGTTTTATGTGGCATGCCTTACTGAATTCCCCTGCCTTGGAGGGTTTGATAGAATTGTTTGTATAGTTTCTTTTTTGGTTATATGGACATGTTTTTAAGGAAATCACTACATTAGATGTGCAAAAGGACCGTGCTGCTCATTCACGTGAACTTGTTTTTTTTTTTTTGCTGTCTATTATAATGCTCATAATTTTTTGGTTCGTGCATACAAACACCTTAATCACATAGTATACATTATTGCAGCTGCATCTTGTTTTTCCAAAAAATTATCATGTCCTGAACATGTACATGGCTGAAAATCGTTCAATGTGAATGGCAGGTCTTAAGAACTTCTTAATACCATATAGAAGACATATTGTAAGCTTACAAGCTGGTCAACCTTTGGTTCAGTTTGGATGGCTGAGCAATTTGAGATGGAGAAGCTAGAACTTGCAGAAATCATGAATGATAACTGGTTGGTTAATGACAGTGAAACTGATTCAAGACTGGTTGGTTAATGACAGTGAAACTGATTCAAGATCTCTTGGCAGATGCTACACTGAAATATCCCTAGTTACATGCCATGATCTTTGCGTGTCATATATATAGATAGATAGATAGATATCATGTGCATAGTTACCAACGTCTTTATGTCATCATTGAATCAAAACATCTGAAGTCTGGGTAGCTATTACAAATTAGCGTTGATCTTGTAAAGTTTCTTCTTCATTAAAGGTTCAAATGAATATAAATTATGCTAGTAACCTATAGGCTCAAATAGCGTCATCTCTCCTTGATGCAAGGGGTTCTGAGTTCACTCCGCAAGTGGCTCAAACGGGGGAATACAATTTTGTGCGTGCAGTCTGTGTAATGCATGTGTATGGCAACCCCTTCCTATGGAGAAGGGTTGGATAGGATAGGGAATACCCACACACACACATTAGTTTTTCTTTTCTTTTTCTTTCTTTAATGTAAGGTTGTTTAGGCCTTGCGATTATCATGTTATCATGTTACCAATCAATGGTCAATTTGGTTCAGCGTTTTGAGATAAGGAATTAATGTGATAATTTTTACTGCGGAGTTTCCTGTAAAAGAGATTTTGTATAACTTGGAAGTGCTTAGTCCTACAACATTCAATTTTTGGGAAATAACAATTAAGGATTCTATAAGACTATTAATTACAATTAAGATTTTAAATTATTGAAATCTTAATAATAAACCAAAGTCATTACAAGAAATTAAAAATTTATGAGTTTATAAAATTGCATTGAAGCACTGAAATGACTATTATGAATTAGGACAATTTTTAATTTTAATTAAAAAAATCAAAATTCATACTTAATAATGGGATTAATAGTCTCAATGTATAATAGTAATTTTAGCAGTTTAAATTTATAATATTTGGGATCTTGATTTTTTTAATTGAGATTAACAATAATTTAAACTCATGATAATAACTTCAGTAGTATGTTTTTCTTAATTTTTCTATTAGTTTATCTATATATAATAAACATAAAAATTTGCAATTGATTAATTTAATATTCAGAAGTGATTTTGATAAATTTTTAATGACTATCATATATTTATAATTGTCTTTCAGAAGTTTCATAATTGAATTTTAATTTCATGCTAGAAAATAACACATTCTTAAGTATGGATCTTAATTTTTTCAATTAAAATTAATAATAATCCTAGCCCATTATAATAATTTTAATTTGTGTTTTTTTTTTTCCAAGTGAGGGAAATTTTATAAATTATATATTTTTTTAATTTCTAGTAAAGATCATAATTTATTATTGGGATCTCTCTAATTGTAATTAATGGTATTATGGGATCTTTAATTAACATTTTCCTTAACTTTTTTTTTTAAAAAGGATGCATTCTCGAACGATATCAGTCCATTTAATTATCTTTTTTTTTATGGGAAAGTTATATGTCAAATCCCTACAATTTATTCAATTTTTAATTTAATGTTTATAACCAGAAATTTTGTGATTGAATCTTTATAATTTTTTTTTTATTTGTCTACTCAATGTAATGAACCATGTATTCTTTACATTCTGAATACGTATGAGTTATGTGAAGAAAAGGAGTAAAACTGTAAATAACAGTCTATAAGGCTTAATGTTATCGGTTTTACATTTTTATTTATTTGTGCTTCTTATAATCTTCTTGGTATGGTGTTTAAATTATTTAAAATAATTTTGTATCATTTTTCTCACAATAGATGCCACATTTACTTTTTCTTATATATATATATATATATAAATGTATGTAATGTAGTTGTATATTTTAAATTTTATCTTTTTATAATGTTTCGCATATCAATCTAAACATTCTCATACTAACTACTTCAAATTTATGCTCCTATTGTTCTTTTAATCTCTTACATTTCTATTACATGACATGGCGAGCTTGACATGACACCAATTTAAAATATTTTTTTTTTAAATTTATTAGATACCTTTATTATAAATAAATTTTTTAGTTTTTTTTTTCATTTACACTATCCAACTTGTATCCTACACATAATATCTTCATTAATTTTTCCATCAAACTCTGTTGCTCTGCATATTTATGGTCAATCCAAACTAGATCAAAGAAAAAGGTTGCTTTAGGCTCTTGACTGCCAACATAAAATTGCATCAAATCTCACATGGTTAAGAACAAAAAGCAGTGACTAGGATTAATTATAGATAAAGTAAACTATAAAGATTTGATTTTAATTTTTTAAACTATTATAATCAAATTGCCAATTGAATGTAACTATGAGGTCAACAATTACAGTGAGCCCTTTTTGAATTTACGTAGTCTTATACGCGACTTGGTAATGATTTTCCTTTTTGTATTGACTTTCGCGTCATAAATACTTTGTCTAGATTCTATTTATGATATTGAAGTATGTCAGATGCTCAGATGTTCCACAAGACTTCTGCTAGGTGGCTTTTGTATCCTAAAAGCAAGCTTTAATAATTATGTCAATCAAATCATTATTGTTAAACAAAATCATGGTGTTTCCATAGTAAATTACTCCATTTAAAATTATAAAATAATTTTTAAATATTATATTAAAAAATATAAGACATTTTTATTAATAATTTTTTTTTAAAAAAATGCCTTTAATTGAAGGTATAATTGATACTCTACTAAAAAGATAATCTATTTTTTGAATGGGTAGATGTTAAAAATGTAAAGCGTTTTTAGTATTTTAAAGTGTTATTGTTATTTTTTTAAAAGTGCTTCTAATAAATAAATTATTTTATATTTATTTTAATGTGAATCATCTATTAAATAGAGATAAATATGAAAAAATAATGTTAGTTTAAAAATAAGTAACTATTTTATTAGAGTAAGATTTGGTTAAAATGTCTTATATTTTTTAGTAAAGAGAGCTTTTTTTTTAAAAAATTGAGATGCCTAATAAGGATAAACATAAAAAGGATATATATTTTAAATGACATTAACTGTTAACTAATCTATTAAAAATTAGGTAGTGCATAGCAAGGCAATAATGAATATATGTATGTAAGTATGTTATATGCATTCCATTATTTAATTTTTGCCAGATAAGACCTACTATCGATTGAAACATTGATTCCATGATTTAAAACAACCAACAGGAAGTAAACCAAATACATGCATCATTAATTTGTATGAATAACTATTGATTCTCTATGTGATGGCTTAAAATCATCAGAGTTCATCTAGCCACAAATTTTCCAGATCAAATGTGAAAAATCAATCTACATATCAGACTCACAAAAAAATTCTATATTCAATGTAAAAATTCGAACAAGTCACACTATTCACTATTGTGAACCATGAACTATCTCATTTCTTGTACTCCAAGCAACAACTCATGGAACCTACGCTAGTTAAAAAAATAAAAAATTGAATCACAAGTTTCAGATTGCTGGACCAACATGGTCTGAAAATTGAAATCACATAAAGGAGTCATTATATTCCTTTTCAGGTGAGGGTGTGAACAGATGCGACAATGACACTCGAAGAGAGATGCTTCCAATAGATGTCTTGCACGGTAACCATGGAGTTTCAGAACCGGCAAGCTCCACGATTTTCGTTTTTCAGTTTCTTTCCAATAAAATGATTATCATCACAAAATAACAATCATTTTCTGTACATCAACTTATCTCTGCAATTGCAAGCAGCTATATTATTTTTCCCCAAAATCGCGGTGTTACACCGGCACACGTCTGACTCTATGGCTGTCGAACAACTGCAAGTTCATAGAACAGAAGGAAGCTCAGCTTGAATAACATAGCATATCCGTATATTTAGACAAAAATGTATGGCAAAACGCATTGTCAAGAAAAAAATGCAGAGTCAACTGAGGGTTTGATTGGTACAAAATGGTATTAGGAAAAGGAATGGGAATGAGAACTCTATTCCATGAACATGGAAAGTCCACTTTCTACAAAAGTCATTTTGCCATACATCAAGCATGTTTAAAATCTTTTCCTCACTTTTTTCATTTCCTCAAATCCCTTTTCCATGTACCAAACTAAGGACATGAAGGCAACTCTAACCTCAAGAATCTAAGAATATAAGTTTCGGTGAGTGAAGAATATACGCGCTCTGTTCAAAAATATAAGATATTTTTAATTAATTTACACCTCCTCATAAGTTACTTAATAATTTTTAAAATTATATATTCTTTTTCATATTTACTCTTATTTAATAGAATGTCTCAATTAAAAAAATTATTAATTACATTTCACAGTTAAGCAACATTTAAAAAAACCTTATTAATTATATCTTGGAAGACTAAGAATGGCTTATATTTTTTAATATAGTATTTTAAAAAAAGGTCTTATAATTTTAAATGAAGAGAGTATTAGATCTACTATATACTATTACAATAATTTCAATCCATCATAATAAGCAGTCAGTAGATAATCATATATTTGACTGCACCAATTGTTTATGTGTACGCCCAATCCATAGCAAGGATTAGGAGGCTGTAACTTCAAAATTATGAATTACGAATGTGACTAGCAGAGCAGCTAGTCTATTCTTACTGCATGACTTAAAAAGATTTCTAACCAAAACAACCAACCTAGAATGGGAATCCTCTGACAGATAAAAAAAGTTTCATAACCATCACATACCGAGCGAATAAAAGGCTGTTGCAACAACCAGCCAAGAATAGGAATCTTCTGCATAAAAACAGCCAGTGTAGGCCAGAATCCACTGCACGATGTAATAAAACCATTAGCTTTTATCATTTAAACAAACCAAGTACAGCATGCTTTTGTATCGCATTCTACTGAACCTAAATAATAAGATGAACCCATAGCCCTCGAGAATCATGCCCAAAATAGGCCATCCCATCAGAAGAATGAAGAATCCAATTCCAAATGAAACTGTTCCCTACACAACCAACAAAATAAAACTCAAAGGTGAGAAGGAGAACTGGGAAAGATGATAAAGAGGTTTTAAAAAAAAAACAATGTGAGGGCAAGAACCCTACAATTTCACCTTAAAATTACTCTTCTTCGTAAAGAATTGTATGGTGGATTTCAGTCCAATGGTTAAGGACACTCCAGAAATGAAGAGGATCTGAATTGGGTGACACCATGAAATAGAAGGCATTTGCAAAAATGTTACTAATTAAGATGATAGAAACTTACATTTCCAATGGTTAGCAATCCCTTCTCAAAGAAGAATATAATCCCAAGGAATGTGAAAATTATGCCAAAGCCAGTCAAGCCTAATCCAATCTCTGTTTAATGTGCCAATTGCATACATGAAAAGTCATGAGATATTAGATTAGAAATTTACACATTCAACTGGAAACCAATTCTGTAAGCAAAAATTTAATCAACACACAATTTTGTCTTATTGTATTCTTCTACGGCCAAGATGGCAGAAGAAATGAAGGCATCTTATAATCGCAACTGTGAAAAAAACGACCAAATCCAGATATACCTAACTCGATCTCTATTTAATAGGCCGATTGCATGCATTAAATGTGATGGGATATTAAAATAGAATTTTATATTTTTGGAACCTAAAATTTAATTAATTCACAGTTTTTTTATATCTTATCCTTCTACTGCTAAGACGACAGAAGAAACCAACTTAGGCGTCACATATCCAAAAATTAGTTCATCCACATATTAAGCCAATTAACTGCATATATATCTCAAAAAGATAGCCTGTCTCCATCAACACATAGAAAACAAACACCATGCATTAGATATCATATTGCAGGACAAATTAGATCCATAAAGTGATGCTGCTACTTCAAATAACTCAATTGAATAATGAAGATATTTGTATAACTCTAGATTCAATCTTCCTCAAAGTTTCCAGTTCAAATCCTCTCGGGACAAAAAAAAAGAAAAAAGGAAAAAACAAAACATATATACGAGGAGAAAACAAGAACACGTCATTGCAAGCGCTCAATAGAATGAAATTTAAAATCCAGGTGACCCTTCCACTGGACAATTGAAGAAGTAATTTGCAATGACCATCTATCCTAAGATATTACGTACTAAAAACAGCGCACTGCTTTGTATAATGTCATTATTACATATAGAAACAACAAAAACATCAAACTCCACTTACTCTTGGGATCATTCATCTCAAAGGAAACCATTTTACCAACGAATCAGATGCTCAAATTTCTTGTCTCACTGAAAAACACAATAGTATAGCAATCAATGAACAAATACTGAATAATCCAGGAAGCAGAAAGCATGCATATAAATGCCTTTAACAATATATGAGTTCTATATGAAGATTTTTTCTATGAAAATGAACTATATAACCTCCCCTCCAGCTGCATCTTCGAAATATAATAGCTGAGTCGTTTGAATCTTAACCAATGGCGTCTATAGCTAGATATAATAAATTACCAAATAAAAAATTCAAATATTATCATTTGACAGCAGAGAATGCTTGATAACCGAGCAGTCAACTTGAATATAGCACCCAACTTGAAGGAAAACTAGAATAGTGTCAGGTTTTTCCATATTTTTTAATCTGACAACTAATAATGACAAAAAGTTTAACATGCATCAATGCGCATCTACAAAAATTAAATAAAGAAAAAACATAATTTTTAGTTACTATAATTTCATCGATTTTACTTTTAATTTTTATAGTTTTTTTTTCAGCATTAAAAAACTGAAATTATAGGGATCTAAAAAACGAACATCACCCAATTTTTTTAAAGTTATAAGGACTGAAAATATTAAAAAAAACTATAAGGATTAAAATTAAAATCCGATGAAGCTATAAGAATTATGATTGTGTTTCCCTTAAATAAATTACAAGAGGTGAAAGAAACAAACCATAAAAATACCAGAATCCTAATGCACAAAGCTGAGAGAAAATTCTGGAGTGCTTATTCGGGATTGATAACCGTTCCTCTTCCTTTCATTCATTCGTCCCCCAGTGGATCTTATACGACGAGGGAAGCATTGACTCCAGCAAGTAGATCTGTCACAATATTCCAAAATATAGCACCGCATTTCCAGACAGAAATAAAAATCTCACAAAACTAGAAAGCTGATATTTTCAATATCAAAGCGTAATGAAATGTGTACAAAATTTGCAATAACTGTTACATTAATGTGATAGTTATGCAAAAATAGCTTCCAGTTACTATCATATCTGAATGAATCATTTGCTAAAAAAGTACGATCAGAAACACCAAGGGACCGGACGCCGTAGATTTACGGTATAATGTTCCCAATGGCTGCTACATATTGCAATCTGGCAGGAAAATGCGTTTTCAGTTACCAAGCCCAGCACTTCCGGAATCGCAAATGACCAGAACAAAACAATAAAACTAAGAGGGCTAAAATATCCTCCGTAATCTAATGTCAAATTGAGCCGAATAATTCATGATTTGCAAACATTGGGAACTGAAAAGTATAAAACCAGCGCGCAGGTCATTTGAACGACTGGATCTTGAACAGGAAGAGAATGCGAGTGTAGGGAAGATAGAGAGGCTACTTACCGCTTGCCGGCGTGTGTGACTTCACCGGAATTGGCGGAGATCGACCCCGGAAGTTGTGGTGGCTGTTACGGAAATTTGTGAGGTATCGCTGAAGAAAATGTTCGCGACAGAGAGAAAGCCACGTAGTAAGCTTATTGGAGAGTGCAACAGATTCAGTTTTTGTCCTGCATGGCTCAGACCAATCGTCGTTTTTTATATTTCTATTTTTTCCATATAACAAATGTATTATTAATTTAATTTGATTTATTGCTTAAAACATAACGAGCATGCATATCATTGTATTGAATAATTAAATTAATATTAATATTAATATATTTGTCTAAAAATTATGTGCATGTTATGATCGAAAAAGTTACACAGTTATTTTTTTTTTTTATAACATAGTTATTTTGATCAAATAATCTGATAAAAAAAAGTTAAGAAAATATCTATTTTTTATTTTTATCAGTTTTTGGTTATTATTTTTATCATTTTTATATTTTTTCTTTCTCTTGAATGCTAAGGATAATGAATTAACGATCCCAAATTATAAATATTATTTTATTGTATTAAAAATACACGGACATTTTTATTTTTACGACATCTCTTAAATTTTTTTTGGTTCTACTTTTATCTTAAAAATCCTTCATTAACATAAATATATATTTTATATTAAAATATTATCTATAAAAATATTTTAGCTAAAATATAGTTTCACATGATTTTATTTTACATAAAAGATTCCAACGATATGAAAATTCCTAATTAAATTAAGATATTGCACATGTTAAAAAAAAATACAAGTTTAGGGATATTTAAAAGAAACTTATATTATCCATAGACATCTGTCCTAGTAGAAGTATTAAGTTTGTTTATAAGACCTCCTTATTTGTTTTTAATACATTTTTTACATCGTTTAATTTAATGTAAAATTTATGAGTCGTTTGCAAAAATACAACTCCAATCTTATTCTCAAAGTGAAAAAAGAAATTAATTTCATTTTTTTTAATTTTCCCAATGATAATTCTAGAAAGTTATAAAGTTTTTTATAATAAACTAATTTTACTAGTTTTTCTTAATCTAAATAGAACAGTTTAGAAGCATTTATAAAAAAAAAATTACAGGACGGAGTAACTTGTAATAATAACAACAGCAATTAATGTTTCTGATGTTAATAATGACTTTTATTTTTTAATAGTCATACGATTTTATGCGGTTTTGGTTTCATGTTACGAACCATTGACTAAAACTATAATTTTGGTTTTTCAATAAAAAAAATCTAACACATTCTCTGCTAGAAAATTAGGTTACAAGACTTGAATTACACCATATGTAATATTATTTATACTTTATTATACTATTATTGAATTAACACATTACGCATGATATGTATATATTTTCTATCATAATTTATCTTACTCTTTTTTTGGGGGGAAAAAAGTTGACTAAAGCATATATCCAAATTTAAAGAATACCTATGAACATAGTACTTACAAAAAACCTGTTAATAAAGTTTTCATATCGACAGTAAAATTTGATCCCATAACTTTATAGGTTATGGATCAAATCTTGGACTAGCATTTCTTAATATTTATCTTCATTGGCTGCATCTTTTTGTAAATTGTAAACTTTAGCTTTGTTAGACACTTTGGCTGGAAAAAAAAAAAAGCTTCTAAAATGGAGAAAGTAGATGAGCTACCTTTTTTTTCTTGAATAAAAGGTCATGGAGATACCATGTAGACGATATGTTATGTCAACATATAAAAAAATTTTACATCCAAATGATGGAGTATCAAAAATGTAAATATTAAATTTGTCGATAAAAGCCTGATGTGCCAACCAATCTATGCATTTGTTTGTTTCTCTATAAACGTGATAAAAAGTAACCGTCCAATATTTCATAACAATATCTCTAATTTTGTTGATTGTAGTAGTTAAAGGGTGATTTGTAGAGAACTTGTTGCGTATTGAGGGTTTTCATAAAATCAAAATAGACATAAACTTTGTCAATCTTTTCTTTTCATTCCAACAAATGTTTAGTCCTTCTAAGATGCCCACAAGTTTGGCTCCCGTACACATGTGATAACCAAGAAATTTAAAGAAACCTTTGATCCAATTGCCATTCTAATCTCATATGAGTCCACCACAGGAAATAGTACCTTAATTATTAAATGAGTCATCCATATTAAGTCTAACCCATTCATCTTTAGGGCATAATCATTTAGCATTTGATCTATCGCCCAATTGATTTAGAAAATTAATTTTTAATTGAAAACATTGATCATTGAATATATCTTAAATGCTAGTAAATGTGATATCTCTTTCAAAATTATTTTATGTGAAATGCCCTGTGGACGAGCTACCTTTGACTTGCCTGTCATAACTCTCAATACTTTTTTTTTGTAAACCCCAACAATGGCCTAAAAATTTCCATAACTCCTATAACTCTTTCCCTCCAATTTAAGCAATTTTCTTTCCCCTATGGTAGCATAAATAGGGTCCTTTATTGAAAGACACCTTAGTTTTTAGAATAAACTTGTTTCTTTTAGAAAATTATTTCCTTTCCGATTAGCTTTGTCAGCCGCATCTTTAAGGCCCAAAAGAAGAAGTTCCTGGTACACTTTTCTTTTAAATTATTTCATGTGGTGACTAGGTATGTTAAAAAAAACATGTCCTCAAACAGTGCGATATATTTAACTTCTATCAAACGGTAAATTCTCATGATTTCTTATCATAATTTTCTCAAATGCAAATACTTAAAAATAAAAAAAAAGAGAAAATAAAGATGAAGAAAACTGATGGTGCAACCATTCTATTGAGAGTTGGCATTCTATTAATTGCTATAAAACTGAATGCTCTCTATTGACTTTGTGCTATTTTAAAAGAACTATGTTTGATTTGTTGAAGGGGGAAGTATTTCATTCGGTTAAACTAAGTATTAAATTGATTTAAGTGTTTTGGGTTGATTGAAATTGAAGTTATGAAAGAGATTGGAAAAAACTTGTATGTGTTATAGCTTCCTCCTTTTATAGGTATAAAGTGATAGTTTTCACATGAATTCATACTTCACTTTTTTAAAACCATTATCTAATATCTTGAGAACTTCTTTCCCTCCTCTTTTTTCCCCCCAAAAAGTGCATTGTGTAACCAAGTCTTCTTATAATCACTCCCCTTCTAAAAAAACTCAAATAGACTCGAGCTAAAATTAAGAATTTACTTCAAATAATTAGACTTGAGACTGAATTTAAATTTTAACACAAACAAGTATATATATGTATAAAAAAAATTACTCCTAATCTAGCCTTTCTTCAAAAGAAAAGAAAAAGATTCATACATTTACACAAATAAGTCAATAACAAATTCAAACATAGAATCTCTTTTTAAGAAAAGGTCACAGTGCCACATATACAACTAGTCGATAATGTTTACATATACAGAGACAAACTCACATCAGGCAAGATTCATTCCAATAATTAAATAATCAATGCTCTTTGGGTCACTCACGTTTCCATTGATCCAAGAAATTCAACAATAATCAAAATCAGGGGCTCAGATCCTAAACAATGGGCCGAGAAACTGAAACATCTACTCCTTTTTTATATTATCATTTTCAATATTGAACAAAACAGATTAGGATATAATTGTCTGTATATAATTATTTATTATTTTAATAAATAAAAGTACAATTGTCTTTATAGAATCACGGATTTAATAGTGATGGTAAGAACAATTCATTTATCATTATTATGTCAAAGAATGACATTGGTTTGCATGCTAGAGTAGTTTCAAAAATTTTCGGTCCTTCAGCATAAAATATCTTTCTGATTTTGTTAATAATTTCCTATATGAGAAAGTAATCATAATCTGTTTTTAAAAAGTACAAATAAATCTTAAATAAAAATTTATTTACCAACAAGTCCCCATAAATTAACCAAAATATGTGAAATCCAAAGATCCTAAATGTCACAAATATGAAAAGAATAAATTATTTTTTGACCGGGTTAAGAGGTTAGCTTGTAAACATATAAATTGATTTATATACATATAATTTGTATGATTAATGAAAAAATTTGTGAAAATTTACCTGTAAATTTAAAATATTTGAATTGTAAATATCGGTACTTGACTTATAAATGTAAAAATTGAATAAGGGGCAGTTTAATCTTTATGCATGCATAAAAATGACAATAAAAGATTTTAGGACTTCACAGTATTGTAACAAATTCATGGGACTGAGGAATAAATATATCCATTATTTGAGACTATTTCATAAAGTTTCCTTTATTTTTCTTTTGACATGACATAATTAAGTTAAAAAAAAGTCTAAATGAAAACTAAATGAAAGTCATTGGTGTTAAATATATGGCACATCACATATGTGAGACTAGAGCTAAAAATTCAAGCGTGTAACACACTAATTTTTTTTTTAAAAAAATAATTTAACTCAACTATAGTTGGGTTACAACAATCCAACATATTTTTATATCAATAATTTCAATATAAAATATTTTATAATTGGCTTCAACTCACACAATATAACATTTCAGATAAATTTTTACCTCCCACATGCCATTAGGCTAAATCACATTTGTTTATCCTTATACTCCCAACAAGTAAACTAAATCACATTTGTCCATCCTTATACTCCCAACAAGTAAACTAAATCACATTTGTCCATCCTTATACTCCCAACAAGTAAAATAAATAATTTAGTCAATTTTCAACATAAGCCAGTTATTTGGCCTCATAATCATGCCATTTTAACCAATCCAAAGTAAACCAAATATTAAAATTACAGTCATTCAAAGTGTACCAAAAATAGAAATAATTTGAAAGGCATGATTACATTTATATATTCATATAATTGTCAATAAACAAAAAGCCCTAATATTAGCAATATAACACATTATAAATCATAAATCAAATACCCAAAAGAGACAGTGGATCTATGCCACTAAGCCTCTGAGACTCCTCCATGTGTCACTCGTGGCTCTTCTCCTGAAAATTGTTAACCACATAATGAGACTCAAAAGTCCCAATAACCAAAGCCAATTTATGATAGTGTGTACAAACAGTTAAGTGTGTGCTTATTAAGTGGGAACCAAAAATAATATAATTCCAACAAAATATAAGAAATATTACAATACACACAAACAACTATTCTTATATCC